TGAAAAATGTGCATTTGTTTTCCCTTTTATGATCTATGCATTTCATTTTCAGCAATATTATTAACACCTGGTGGAGTGATCAAGTCCCGCCCCTCATTATCTGGTTCCCATAACTTAAAGTGGTATGGATACCCTTGCTTTACATTCTGTTGTCCAGGAAGAGCTTAGCGGCTATTATGAAAGCATGCCAAAAATCTGTTTTGATACCCATATGGATAGAGCCAAACGATGAATCTTAATTTCAGCAATATTTTAGTTGTGGAGTGTTTTTCATATAATACACCAAAACAAAAGTTGCCCAAAAACAGAGAAAAGGTGGAAAGAAGTCTTGGGTTTGAGGCATGTTCTCGGTTGGTCACTATTGTTTTCTCCAAAGACAAGCCAATGCCTAAGCACCAATGCTAGCTCTGGGGCAGCAATGTCACTAAATAGGAGCCTTGGCTGTGACAGATAGCAGCAGTCTAGTTCCCTTGCTGAATGTAGAAATATCTTGAAGGCCAGCCTGAAAGTCTCTATCAGATTGAGATCTGGACTCTTAATTGACCATTTCAGGAGTTAGGACATTAACAGTGTTGTTTTTAAGCCACTCTTGTGTAGTTTAAGCTTTGTTCTTGGGGTCATTGTCTTGCTGGAAGACCAACCTTCTCACAAGGCTCAGGTTTCTTGTGGATACCATCAGGTTTTCCTAAAGGATTTCTCTGCATTCTGCTGTATTCATTCTACCCTCTACTTCTTCCTTCACAAACCTTCCAGGGCCTGTTGCAAGGAAATATGTCTGTAGCATGATGCTGCCACCAACATGCTTCACGATGGGGATGGCGCATTACAATGATGTACAGTGTTTGGCTTATGCCAAACATGGTGTTCAGCTTGATGGCCAAAAAGCCTAATTTATGTCTCATCAGAGCATAGACCCTTCTTTAAGTTGACTCTAGAAGCTGCTGAGTGTTTTTTCCAGACTGTTAGTAATTTTTAGTTAACAGTGGCTTTTCTTGCTATAACCCCACAAAAAAATTGTTTAGTTTTGTGTCGTATGGAATCGGATTTTTTTATTTTTTTTATTTTCAGATACAAAATTTGATTCGGTTTGATTCGTTATTTGGATTTCGGATTCATTCGAACTTTAGGTTTTCGTTTCAGATCGATCCGATTTTTTCATTTTTCATTTTGGATCTATTAAGATGAGGCTCTTTAATTAAAAATGAACTTTAAAAAACAATAATTTTAGTTCTGTACTGGTCCTTAGTCCACACTAGTCCTCTTAGTCTGTACTGATTATCTTAGTCCATTCTGGTAATTTGAATCAGTACTGGACCTTTTAGTCCATACTGGTCATTTTAGTCTGTACTGGTCAACTTAGTCCATACTGGTCATTTTAGTCTGTACAGGTCAACTTAGTCCATACTGGTCATTTTAGTCTGTAGTGGTGGTCATTAGACATGTAACGCACAAAAAAAAATTTGTTTTCATTCCGATTTGGATTTAAAAAAAAATCCTTTTATGGGGTGTTAAACGTTTTCGGTTTGGAACCATTGGAGGTCAACATAAGCTAAACTAAAATAACATAACAAAAGATCTTCGCATCAACCATCAACCCCCAACAGAAAAAAAAATCTGATTGGCCAGTCACATGTGCAATTTAGTTTCGTTGTGAATGAAATTCGGACAAAATTCGGAATGAAAATTCAGATTAAAGTTGCAACTGGTGAAGCAGCCAGTAAACAGATGTTGTATGCATAGTGTCAGCAAAAAAGGTCTGTAAAGCCATTGGTCATAGGTCTCTTGGTTGGGTGATTACTATTTCTAGGCACTGTAATAGCAAATGTATACAATTTTACATAAACAACTTTATATAACATCAGTGAATGAATCCATGTTCCCTTTAAACAGACTCTGTCAATACAGCTACAACCAGAACAGATGTAAATACAGCTGCAATCAGAACAGATGTCAATACAGCAAGCAACAGAAGAAAAAACAACATGCAAGTAAGGACTGCTTTGACTCTAGTAACCAGTACATGACGTCTTCTAACTTTATTTACTATTGTCTTTTTTCCACCTTTTTTTTGTGTAACTCTGTTAAGGGGTCTTTCCAATCAAAACTGATATTTAGGAGAGTTGTTGTTGCCTATATTTCCCTTAATGCTCAAAATGGCAACCAATCAGTTTCTCTGTCTCATTTTCAAATCTTACCTGAGCAAACTGAAGAGGGATGCTGATTGGTTGCCATGGGCAACTGCAACAGATTCTGTCTGCTCCAGTTTTGATAAATTTCCCCCTCAGTGTTTCCTGACATATGGGTTTTGGTCCACTTTTGGTGGTAGATATGTTTTTCTTGTGATTTTTTATATTTTGATTATAAATAGAATTATTACGGTAATGTGATAACCTTAATGCATTATTTTAAAAAAAAATCTTGTTACACTATTGTATTTTACAGTCCTTGGAAAATAAGCAGTTAATTTATGAGCAACTATGTGATGTGAACAATGGCTGCTGGAGCCAGGAAGACATACAGGAGGCTGTTTCCTCCTGTTCAGACTACACATCTGCTCTTCTGTACCTTTCACAAGAACGCCCTGTATGTGATCAAACCCAATACTCACAGGTAACTACATTACATGGAAAAATGTTTGAGCTTGTTAGACATCCCGGTCCAAAACCATTGCCGTTATCATGGAGTTGGCCCGCTGATTGCGGCTATCACTCCTCCTCGCTTCTGGGAAGACTTTCCACAAGATCATTCAGTGAAAAGAGCATTTGAGTACTGATGTTGGACAAGAACACTTGGCTCCCAGTCAGCATTACAATTCATCCCAATGTGTTCATTAGGATTACAATTAGGCCACTTGAATTCCTCCATACCAAACTCATCAAACCATTGGGATGAATTACAAGTGTTAGTGATAAGAGAGTCTGGTTAGTGTTAGTGATAAGGGAGTGTGGTTAGTGATAATGGAGTGTGGTTAGTGATAAGGGAGTGCGGTTAGTGTTAGTGATAAGGGAGTGTGGTTAGTTATAATGGAGTGCGGTTAGTGATAATGGAGTGCAGTTAGTGATAAGGGAGTGCGGTTAGTGTTTGTGATAAGGGAGTGCGGTTAGTGTTAGTGATAAGGGAGTGCGGTTAGTGTTAGTGATAAGGGAGTGGGGTTAGTGTTAGTGATAAGGGAGTGCGGTTAGTGTTAGTGATAAGGGAGTGCGGTTAGTGTTATTGATAAGGGAGTGCGGTTAGTGTTAGTGATAAGGGGTGCGGTTAGTTAGTGATAAGGGAGTGCGGTTAATGTTAGTGATAAGGGAATGCGGTTAGTGATAAGGGAGTGCGGTTAGTGTTAGTGATAAGGGGTGTGGTTAGTGTTAGTGATAAGGGAGTGTGGTTAGAGTTAGTGATAAGGGAGTGCGGTTAATGTTAGTGATAAGGTAATGCGGTTAGTGATAAGGGAGTGCGGTTAGTGATAAGGGAGTGCGGTTAGTGATAAGGGAGTGCGGTTAGTGTTAGTGATAAGGGGTGTGGTTAGTGTTAGTGATAAGGGAGTGCGGTTAGTGTTAGTGATAAGGGAGTGCGGTTAGTGTTAGTGATAAGGGAGTGCGGTTAGTGTTAATGATAAGGGAGTGCGGTTAGTGTTATTGATAAGGGAGTGCAGTTAGCGTTAGTTTCAATGTTATATATTAGTTGTAAGAGTGTTAAAATAAAAGTGGGTGCACTGAAGCACCCAGTGGGACAGCCAGTGGACGGACTCGATGGGAGGGTCAGTGGTTGGACTCGGTGGAACGGCCACTGGCCATGCCTATGGTGTGTTGGGGGAGGAGAGGGCCAGACCTAAAGCTGTGTAAAGGGCCCCAAAATTTCTGATGGCAGCCCTGTCTATGTGTGTATTTAGTAATCAGTTAACTCTTTCTTATATCTGCTGACCTTCCAGTGATGAAAATCATCCAGTGGCTTTATAGAAATAAGTCTATATCACCTAAAGTTAGGACTGCTGAAACAGTCCTAACTCTAAATGATATAGTACAACGTAACTTTGGTCGGTCTAATCCTTAATGTGAAAGGATTTAAGCTGCACATTCCGGTACAGTTTAAGTTTCTGTTATTTGGATCCTGTAGCAAAGTTTGCTTCCCATACAAAGACCCATTTGAGTCAAAATGTTGCTGTTCACTTAAAGTGTATTGTCATTCCATATTACAGTGTGCTTCCTATTAGAATTATTGGGTGAAAATACTGTGGTTGATTTTCTAAAGAAATACAGCAGGTTCACTTTTGAAAGTGACTGTTTGCTATGCTATATACTTTTTAGTTTAGTGAACAAGGAAGAGGGTTCACTTCAATCATTTAATCATGTTCAAAATTCTTGTTTTTTTATTTTTCTTGAACATCACTGGGTATGCAAAGTGAGCATAGCTTCCGCAATTTAGCAAAGTGAATATTCACATTGATCAATTAACAAAATTACCTCTTTAGTAATTCAACCCCACTGTCTATGAGGCTGTGATGCAGTACAAAATACAATACAGGGGACCTTTCGGAAGGATCCAAAATGGGACTAAAAATAGACAAGGATAAAGTTATTTTTATTGTGAATCATCTGAATCTTTCAGTGTTATTCACAAAAGGGTGAAGAGCTTGGAGTAGGCAGGAGAAGTGAACAGTCTAAGATAACATAACTGAACTAGAAAGTGAGCTCAATGGGAGAATTTCTCCAAATCAGCTATTTTGGCCTGAATAGTTCACTTCTCCTGCCTTCTCCAAACTCTTCAACCTTTTGTGAATAACCCTGTATGTGTAGAGATACCTAGACCAAATAAAGCTGCTTCTATGCTTAATGGTTGTAGCAATTGATTGTGAATGAATGGGAAATCTATCCATTACTAATAATTGATAATGTAAACCTCATGACATGCCCTATTTTATTTTCAGTGATTTAACTGGAGTTTTTTTCAGTCACAGGAAATAAAACAAGAAATCTCTGAGCAATTATGTACAGTGAACAAGGGCTGCTGGAGCCAGGAAGATATAGAAGAGGCTGTTTCCTCATGTCCAGATTATACCTCTGCTCTCCAGTATCTGTCACATGAATGCCCTCTATGCTGTGACCAATATTCGTATTCCAAGGTATCTCGTTTTCTGTCAAACAGTACCTATATGGTAGAGGTGCATCAGAATTGAATTTGAAGTCCAAAATCGAAACTGAAAATAAAAAGTTTGTCAGGCTGGAACCAAAACCCAAAATAATTTTTTTCTAACCCAAGAATTTTTATATTTTATTTTTTTTTTATTTTTTTTATTTACTGTCGGGGGCTTTGTGGAAATATTATGGGTCCAAACAGACCCCTGATATTTCCCTTTTGAAATAGAAAAAGAGATTGAGGACACAAAGTCCTCAATCTTTTTTTCTGCAGCCCCTGTTATGAAATAACAGGAAGCCTGTACACTGAGTGCTCCTGTACATTTATAAACTGTGGAGATGACTATGACTATGTCCACAATCATGAATGAACATCAAGTGATGTAGAGCACTTCCTGTTCATTCATAATTGGGGACACAGTAAGCATACTATATCCTCAATTATTTACAAGCACTCAGTGATCAGCTGATTGCTGAGTGTCTGTATATTGCTCTCCATCCTGACTCGCCTGTCACAGGAGGCTGAGCGGACAGTGCGGGGAGGAGAGCTCAGCCTCCTATGACACCGCTGACAGCTGAGCCTCCTCTGACAGCTGACAGCACTCTTGTCCCTGCACCGCTCTCCATCCTAATCTGCCTGTCACAGGAGGCCGAGCGGGGCGGTGCGGGAGGAGTGTGAGCTTCTCTCCTCCCCACTGGGATCAGAGGGGACACAGAGCACCGCCCAATGGAGAGGAGAGAAACTAGACATGTACTCCTGTTTTGGCAATAAATGGTACTTTCGGTAGCCGAAATTTCGGTGCATCCCTACTATATGGTGATCCATGACGCAGAAAAAGGGAGCCTAGGTTGGAATGTTCTGATCCTGATTCAGCATAACAAACATCCTTTTGAGTTGAGATAGTGTTCTCTTACACTTTTTCTGCCATTAGATTTGTTGCGGGTTTGGCATACTGCCTGTGTAGCCTTTGCTTCAGTATAGGGGGCAGAAAACAAGAGAAGAAGGAACCCATCAGAGTGGTGCAAAGAAAGGCTACAATGGGGTCTGCTAGCAGGGTAGAGAAGGTCCTTCCTATTGCTGATCATCTAAAACATTCTAAAGTTGGATCAGAACCCAGTGAAGATGCACGTTTATGGTTTGTGGTAAGGGATCAGACTCATTGGTGCATGTAACAATACAATGGTAGTGCTGACTATGCCAGTGAGGATATAGCTGCAGGAAAACTGGACAGTAAAGCAAGAGATACGGCAGATGCACATGTAATAAAGTCACACAAGTATGGCTAATACACAGTATCACATTTATTTTCTTCCAGTTTGTGAAGATGACACACTGCAATTGTTCTTTATGTGAGCAGTGCTTCATTTGTCATTTCTCTTCTGTCATCAAAGAGAAGAGTATTATACATGTGGTGTGCCCCCTCTGCAAAAAACCAGACCTGGAGAAAAGTGGGAATTCTGAGGAATCTATGGAGTACTTCAACTTGCTGGACACCCAGGTTTCAAAAATATAAATGATAAATAAAACTGTAAATTAGCACTTGTAAGTGAAAGCTGGGTGCTGGCTGAAGGTACCCATCGCATAGGACCTGGGGCAGAAGTAAGAGAAGCAGCAGTCCCAGTGTACTGAATTTTCTAGTGCTTTGAACTACCTTCAGCTTGTATTTGAGAAGTTTGAGAGATTTGTGAGATCATTCAGAATTAATTCATAGCTGCATTCGCCCCACAATTGATCCTTTTTTTTTTAAAGATTAAGATTTTTATTAAGTAATTTTCTATATACGGTCAGCATACAAATAAGTTCAGTTGGTGTATTACATGTCGCATAAAAGGACAAGGTTATGATAAGACATATCAGAGTGGGTTTGAAGTCTAATGTAATGTAGCATGTGGGAATCAAATGACTACATTCATGTGCTAAAAGGATAGTCATCCTAATGGCATTGTCCCTGGCTATCCCACTGGTTTTTGTGAATGAGGCTAGGCACATGTGGCTAAAGTCTTTTAGAATATGATTTTGAATACATTTTATATTGATGTTGATCAATGAGCATTCTATCAGGTTTCCCCAGATGGCCTTCTCACCTAGAATGTGGAAGAACAAGATGTAGGGTATCAGGGTTAAGGAATGGAATGGATTGTCTCTGAAAGTAACCTTTATGAATATTTCACAAATGTAGATAATTAATTAAACAACATTTGAAATAATCTTGGCATTAATTAATCAGTGCCTGAATTTTTGCCTGCAAGTATTGAATACTGAGCCAGGTACCCACCATAAAATCTACCCTGATTATCTTTGATTTCTAGAGTAATAGTTGGGCCTGGTTTTATTTACAAAAATCCTGAATTTTAGATATATGGTATTTTTATTTACATTGTGGCTACTGTGCAAATACCAGGATTTAAATGTTACCCATTTTCCAGCATACTGGAAATGTATAACATGCACATACCTACTTTTTGTTATTTTACAGATCCATCACTATCTTGACCAGACAACCCATGATTTATTTCAAAGAAAGCTAAGAGATAGAGCATTGATGGAGATGCCTGAATTCAGCTGGTGTAGTCATGTAAGTGTGAGAAACTATATTTGTGAATTTCCTAGAATTGACATTAGCAAAAGGATAAAAATATAAGACATTTGAATAGAAGTCCCCCATAGCAATGTTCAGGTCTCCATATGACCTCCTAAAAGCAGGTGAACCTTAATGATTCTGAGCATTGCATGAACTATTTTCCCTCAAGACTTCATACGCCTAAACATGAATGGTCACCCAAGGCAAATATCAGATTTAGGAACCTGTCAAAGACATGGATGTTTAGACATGATTCAACTGCCCTTTACTGTCTATGCCTTCTAAAAGATGTCCATAGGCACGACTGGAGCATCTACTAAACCAGTTCATGCTTTTTGGACACCATCCCATAAAAATGATACAATTATATGATATGATTGCCAAAGGCTAGCCCTCTCAAGGAGGGAAAGATTAACAAGACAGGTGAGAAAACCTTGTCCAATCACTGCTGTTCACCCTGGGCTGTCTACCCACACCACCCCCTCTTCCCCCTCTATAATAAAATGTGTTTGCATCCATACGCCTAACTGTGGTGACATTGTTATACAGTACGGCACTGGTGAAGTATGTACGGGCTCTGATAAATGTTTAATTGAATATCTAATTTAAAGGAAGTTCCAGTGAAAACTATGTTAATATTTCTTAATGTTTTACATCCCTTAGTGTCCTTTTGGAGTTTTACATGAGGGAGAGACATTAAAGATGGAATGTCCAACTTGCAATAAGAGCACTTGCTTCAACTGCAAACAGCAAGTAAGCCCAAGTATTGAATAAATAAGTGTATCCTGCAAGTATTATTATTATTATTGTACCATTAAAAGCTACCTAAAGTAAAACTATAATTTTGTATATAGTATAATAAAGTGGGCCCGTGCAAAGAAGACACTGCATACCTCCATCTCCTGCTTTCTACATCTCATTATTTGCAGTGATAAAGAAAAACTGCTGGCTAAAGATCCAGCAAAACCTGACACTTTCAGGAGTGTCAATTTCTTGGTCCACCAATGGGCTTAGTGGTTCGATCTGCTGGCCCTGAGGAACCCCAGCGTTCAGCAAGGGACTGGAAAAGTGATACTCCCAAAAGTATTGGATTCTACAGCACTTTCAGCCGTGTTTTTTATTCACTACTACAGAGATCAGAGGCACACGCAGCAGGAGAGGTGAGTATTCATGGCCCTCTATGTAGGGAGCCCTATATTGTATAGTTTAATTTGAGAAATTATTTTAAAGCTAAATATTAGGGATGCACCGATACCGATACAAGCATCGGTATCGGCCGCGATACCGAGTATTTGCATGAGTACTCGTACTCGTGCAAATGCTCGGATGTCTAAAACGAGTACCTGTGTCTGCCATCTTCCACCGCCGCACACAGCACACAGGACCGCGTCTGCATTCATTCAAGATGGCCGCGATCTCCTTCTCCACGGGCGAACGGCCGAAAGCAGACTCCGCCTTCAATTCCTCTGTTCTCACTCGTGATTGGTGGGGAATCTGTCAATCATCCAATCGGCCAATCAGGGTGAGAAGAGGCAATTCCTCTGTCCTCACTCGTGATTGGTGACTGGTGGCCACGAAATTAGATCTCTAACATAGAGCTCCTTCCACTAAAGACTGGTTGCAACAGAGATCCGAGAACATAAATGAAGATGAATTGGACATACCTTCCGAAAGGGCGCAAATTAAATCTGTAGACAGGCGTTGGATTGGAATCCCCAAGGACAGCGCAGGGGAGGCAGACCCAGAGGCTCCTGGCAGCGAAGCCTATCCTATATGATGGTATCGAAGCTGTAGACGTGAACCTGACCTGGCTTCAGGTCAAATCAAAAGCTGGGAACTGTCAACTGTGGAAGTCTTTCCTTTCTGCCCGTTGCTTCTCAGTGGAGCAGGATATAGAACTAACTAAGGCCCCGTTCACATTGAGCGATTTATCGCACGATAATTCCCGCGATATCGAGGCTATTTACCGCGCGATATCGCGCTCCAATTCTTGGCAATGGGGCAAAGGGTCCTGCTGTTGCGGGTCGTGTGTCGCTACAGCAGGACCGTTTTTGGAGTGGATTTTGCCGCGATTCAAGCTTGCTCAATGCAAGCATTTGCGCTATATCGCGCGACAAATCGTGCGATATCGCGCAAAATGCAAATTGCGCGACAAACACGCGATTTGCGAACCGCTCAATGTGAACGGGGCCTAACTATAACTAAACTCCAAGCACATATAAAAACAATATCAATGTAAGCAGATGCATATTTAGAATAATGATTTCATTTTTTTTTTTATATAATCAGTGGAAGTACCTACATTTGTCTTGATATTAGCATGTTGTAAACCCCTGTACAGTAGAACGTAGTCTGTGGGTGAGAGGGACAACACTAAGAGTTAGACAGGGATACTGCATGTAACTACACTCGCAAGAAACATGCAGACAGGATGAAAGAGCAGAGGATCAGCTTATCCCTCTGCTGCTGTTCCTTTACATGTCTAGATATATTATTTGAAACTTAGTCCTCCTGTCCCATCGCACTCCTGACAGGACAAAAACCCAAATCCAACAATTCATCTATATAGCTATATTATTTAACTCCAGTAAAGGAAAGTCAGGTTTCCAGGATACATGCAGCATTTATTCTGTGCAAAATAGTGATTTTCTCTTGCTCTTTATCACCCAGTGGGAAGACATACATGAAACAATGAGCTGTGAAGAATTTAGAGCGTGGAAGCTACAAAACCAGGAACTGGAAGAATTTCTTTACAAGAATGGGATTGGTAGTATAATTACAGCATTCAAGATTTGCATTCTTAGTAATTGCCCTGGAGTACAAAGGTCATGCAGTAGTGGAAAATGTGTCCAAATAAACTTCCCCAAAGTTAAAAAGAAATCTAAATAGCTTTTAAGTGAATCCTCTTATACACTGTTTTTTAATAATTATCATGCTTATTTGCATACACTTGACTTTGCCTGCAGTCTTGTTGCTTGCATTTTGATTGTCAAACGTTTTTATTATTTTCCAAAAAGAATAGAAAACAGTACACAAATCGACAAAACATCTATAAGGGGGATATTACAGTTGTTGCTTGCATTTTGTAGTGCAGTGTAGATATTTCTGTATGATCAGCCCTGTGCTAATAAAAACAAGTTTGGAAAGGTATTGTCCAGACATCATAACATACCCACCCTTTCGTTGCTCCACTGGTGCTATGTTTGGCTGCCGAAAGAGGTAGAAGCTACTCTGTGTAAGCTACAGGTCAATCAAGCTGTAGCTTTCACTGCGCTATGGACTTTCCTCACGGGACAGCACTGGTGCTTGGTGACATACTAGTGCTGTCACATTGAGTAGGGCACGTACTGCTCTATAGTTGGAAGTATTTTGTTCACTCCCAGCAGTATAGGAGCGCAAGAGTGATGAGTATCGGCTGTTATAAAGGGGGATTACATTGAACCTGTTGCTTTGCTTTGCTCTGCTTTGGCAAAGCACATGTTTTCTTAAAGCACCATTGCATGGACCATTTATTTGAAGTATATCTATAGCCAAAACATTTACTTTGGATTTGGATAGAGTGTGGAATGGTTTAAGCCTCTGTTAGTGTCTCATACAGAAAAAAGAAAAAAAGTACCTAGAGATCCTCACCCTAAGTTAATTTTTGAGTTGTATAACTCTGCTAAGTAGCTCTCAAAACGGCCAACCTCCTGCTGCTATTGCAATACACAAGAAAAACGATTTGTTCAGCCAAGAGAGGCTCTTGAACAGAGTGCAGCTACATAAGAGGGAGTCGGAGAGTTAAATAGCAATGTAAAAAAGATGATTTATTAAATATTCACAATTAACAAAAATTAATTGACACATAAACCGACTACACAGTTGATACCTTCTAACCCCACACCTTTAAAAATGATTATTGCAATAATCCATTCATGCAAAACAACATTCAAAACTTTTTTTGGAGCTTGCTGATCAATATTGTTTTATTATCAAGTGATTCTCAATTCCAGAGGACACAGCGCTGGGAATAAAGTGATTTGTGCTGGAAACTATGTATCCGATGCTTGGGGGATTCTTGAGTTAACTCTCTCTAGTATTTTTCCTCTTGTTGGGGACGTCTTTTAAGTTGATTTCACCAGTTTACAAGTAAAGTCACTATGAACTGAGCTCATATCTTTGTTGGTTCTTTCTAGGGACACCACCAACGATATTAGAGCAAATACTTGATTGAAGGGAACTTATGGGAATGTATCAGAGCATGAGAGATAAGCCCGGTGATATGGGTAGGCTGAATGCCGCTGAGTTATAGATACACTGGGGAAGGAAAACCTCCAATCTATGTGTGCTAGTAAACTCGAGCAATGTCTTTTACTCACGGCTGCTCTCTCCCTTTGACCCGGCAATCAGTCTCTCAGGGCACGTGGTCGCTCGATGTTTTTCTCCCCAGTTCCGCTCGTTGTGGTGTACAGATAGTTTTAGAAAGTTCTTAGACGTATTCCTGTGTACTGAAAGTGCTTTTAAGAGGCGTCCCAGGTTCTGCTGGATTTAATCCCTTCTGTCAGTGAGGATAGTTTCCTTATCCCGCTGTGTCAATATCAATCACTACTACAGACTGTGTCCTCTGGAATTGAGAATCACTTGATAATATAACAATATTGATCAGCAAGCTCCAAAAAAAAAGTTTCAATTAATTTTTGTTAATTGTGAATATTTAATAAATCATCTTTTTTACATTGCTATTTAACTCTCCGACTCCCTCTTATGTAGCTGCACTCTGTTCAAGAGCCTCTCTTGGCTGAACAAATCGTTTTTCTTCTGTTAGTGTCTCTCCTGCTGCCTGTGTTCCAATGGAGAGACTTCTTTTCACTTATTGTCCTGGAGACACAACAGGAAATGAGATGAAATCTCTCTAACGTCCCCTATTAGACACACTAGAACTGGTGCCCCATTGGAAGATTTCCCCCACCTGCAGTCCTGGAGTATCTCACCATTTTCTGAC